TGTTGTCCTCTGAGCTTCCAGCAGATGGAGCTGCAGCCCTGCTGAGCGCTCGTTCCTCAACATTCAGTGACCTCTTTACTGAAAACAGATCAGCTGTAACGAGAGACGTCATGGACGTTGATCATCCTTCTTTTTGACAGGTGTCCTGAGATCTGATCCAGGTTCTGATCCTGTCCTTTTGTCCCTGCAGGGTCATGGACTCTCACTGGCAGCTACAAGGAGGCTCACGGGCCTGCGGTTCTGCCTGGCAGAGCTGAGTCTGGATGTTCTGGAGGAGCGTTGTGCTGTGGAGATCCACCAAGCTTTGAGCCGTGCAAAGAAAACATCCGTAGAAATAAAGTTGGAAGAGTTTACTCGCAGCTCACCTGAGCCCGGCTCCACAGAGCAGGTGACACCTTCACACCTGCAGAGACACGCTTGACAAACAACGGTGTGATCATGCTCCCACAGGATGTTTAACACACTCTGAGGGTCGGAGCAGAGGTTTCTGTCAATCGATATTTTACATTTTAAACTTTGCCTCACCTTTATTTCCACAGGTTAGTGTCACTGAGTCCCAGGACTCATTTACAAGAGAGACCTGCTTTAAACAAACGTTCTGCTGTGTTCTCCAGGAGTGGGTGGCCGCGGGTCACACTTTGGGTCAGGTGGTTCTGAGTCAGCTGGCCGCCGTCAGCCTTCAGTCCTCGGACAACATGGAGGTCAGAGCTCGCTGCCTGTGCTTAACTGGAAAATACCTGAGACTGCTGGCTGTGCACGAAGAGCCCGTGCACGTGAGAGATCTCTGGGATGCACACACGCAGGTACAAATATAAACGCAGCTTGTTTGAACAGAAAGCTCTCGGCTTGTAGAGATAAGTGTTTATAAAACCTGACACAGGAAAACTAAACGTCCTGATGGTTCCAGTTTTGACAGCGTCTTGTTTTAGCCCCGCCCTCACCTGTGACCTCACCTGAGAGCTTTATTCATCTTCTCTGCAGGAAACCTGCTCGGGCTCTGAAGGTTTTCTCACGGCAGACTCTGAGACAGACGGGGACTACAGCAGAAACAAATGGGTTGTGACCTCGGCAGGAAATCCTGAATTGCAGGTACAAACCTCCTGACTGGTACTGGTACTGGTACTGGTACTGACGTCACAGCAGAGCTGAGTGTGAGGTTCTCTGATCCACCTGCTGGACGCCTTCAGGTCAAAGTGTCTCAGAGACACCTGTCCACCTGCAGCTCTCGCTGCACGTTTTCACACTCAGGGCTACGACCAGGGCTTAATTTATAAACCAAACAATGCTGGAACGCAAATAGAGGGGGGTGGGGCCTCTGGGGTGTCCTCCCCCAGAAAACAGTGAATAAAGTAGATGCCATTTCCTGCACTGTGATCTATTTTAACAGGTTGTTAAACATCTACGTTTACCTACACAAGTAAACACTTGATTCAGTAACTATTTTAGAGTAGCCTGACCAACAGCTCTCCTTGTGTGAGTAGAGCACGTTACGCCTCTCTCAAGCATCCCAACACACACGCGCACTTGATGGTTCCAAGCCCGACTCTCCTCCGCTGAATTCACTGTCCTCCTCATTGTTGTCCTCCTCCTCATGTGAAACCCTCAGGCTGTTCATGGCGGCTGCCTATGGGCTGCTACCCGAGTACGACAGCCTGGTTATCTCTCCTCCCCACCACTCCACCTGCTCCAGTATCTCCACTGCCTTCATGTGCTTCAGTTCTCCGTTGTTTAGTTGTACAATGAAAATACTTTTTTTAATGAAAGTAAATTGGACTGTTCCTCAGTCTAGTGGTTCTACACTTAATGCTCCTCAACCTCCTTCCTGAGGGGAGCGGGGCAA